AATTTATGCTCTCCGTATACATAACATACACCATGAACAATGGATTAAAATGCATTTCACAATAACTGCTTGATGCATCGGGTTTCTAACAAAGGGTTGGATTTCAATTTGCGGCAATAGTGAAAGTTTTCGTTGAATATTGATCGACGAGATCTCCCGACTCATTTTTCTTGCAGATAACTAATCATTCGTCTCTCTCTCTCTCTCTCTCTCTCTGTATGTTAAAAATATGTCGAATAATTGTTATATGCAGAAAGTCTTTACGTGCTATTTACATTTTCAAAAATATGTCGTTATATTTTTGCTTCAGGAGTCGCTTTTCCTAGTTTCTCTATAGGCCATTGCAGGATTTATTTTCTTGATTGGCCATTTTTTACTTCTTTTTCAACGATTTATTTATTTTTTTTATTTCTTTTTGTTTTTATGCTGCAAAAAGCACGTTCGACGATAAACTAACATTAGTTCTACTACAGTTCGTTGCCGTTAACTCTCGAAAAAGCTCCCAAAATTTTTGTTGTTTCATAAATGATGCTTGTAAAGATTCCTTGATGATTCATTGTGAAGATAAACACTCAGTATGAGATCAATATTTCAAAAAATCATCGTATATAATTATAATAATAAAGATAATTTAATATAACTAAAACATAGGCAAATACGGAAATAATAATTATAACGAGAGAAAACTTTTGGTTATTATAAAAAAAATGTTAAAAATTTTATTAACTAGTTAATATATTAAGTATCTTGTATCAATAAGGGGATGTAATGAGATCGGACTACTGTACTTACTATGACATAAATAGGATCAAAGAAAACGCAAAGGACAACTTTATAGCTACAACTCATTTTTAAGCTGAAACGCGCGAAATCGATATTATTAAGTGCGCCATCATTGAAGTAACAAAAGAAAATCATAGATAATATATGTAAGCCATCATTGTTTGTCAATAGCTATTACAGAAACCGTAATGGTAAAATCAAATAATACAACATAAAATAATACAAAAATTATTTTTGTAGCGTGTTTACGTAATATTCAATTTTACACTTTATAAATACGATATAAATTTACTTAAAAAAAAAATTTGTAAATGTTAAAGTGTAACGATATTTCATAAATCATTAAAAAAACGAGGAATAAGTTTCTTTAATGATAAGCGTAATAAATTTTTTGTATTAAAATATTTGATAACTAAAAATATAATCGTAAAATAAATCGTAACTTAATTTTCATTCCGCTACAAATATCAATATCAATAAATCAATGGACAACAATATTTTAAATATTCAACTTTGGAAGATAAATACCATAGCTAAACTATAAAATTAATTACCAATATATATATTTTTAAACTCGACATGTAACAAGTTAATAAATAGATAATCTATTATAATCAATCATATTATTATGATATATATTATTTCGATTGTGAAAATTAAAAATAAACAAAGCACAACTTGAACACAAAAATGATACGAAAAAAAATATATCAAATTAGCTTTGAAATGAGAATGGTAATAATAAGATGATATAAATAACTTATTTAATAAATGATAACTGAATGTTGATAAGTTATTGATCATACTCGAGTCCAAATAAACGTCGATTAAAATGTGATGCATATTTTATTAAGCCCATATAATAGAATCAGATTATCAAAAAGTATTAGCTAGTCTTAGGTAATTATTAAAAAAAAATTAATTATCAGTAAAATCGATAAAAAAAATTTCATAATTTTTGAAGATGAAAAAAGTAAGTAGAAAAACAATAAAAACAATTGCGAGACACAATTACAATCAATTAGTATAAAATAATTTAACTATAAATGAGCAATGTTAATTAATTTTTTGCTTAATATATCATGAGCCATAATAAATAAAAATGGAATTTATCATCTAATATAACATTTGAAAAATCTAGACATAAAAATTATTACAGTTTATTACAGTTCGATTTAAATGCAATAATGATTATTCAAAGAAGTAATTAAAATTAAAGTAAGTAAGAAAAGTAAGATAAAAAAATATTTTGTTACTCTGAGGTTAAAAGAAATTCACCTAAAATGTAATTCTTAAATATAATATAAGAAAAAAAAATTTTTTTTTTTAATAATGCACAGTTAATACGTAAAATTTTAAAGTTATTTATCAATTAGCTTGACACTATATTAATTTTATCAATTCAATAGATAATATTTTAATGTACGTTTTTTCGTGGCAGGAGTTTGTAGTAACTATTAAAATATTATTATCTTTCAACTGCGAGTTATAATTGCTAATGAACGTAAATCGATTGTATTTTAGGAAAGTGTAATCCATCCATCAGTTCATTCAATAATCCATTCGTTTCTGCGTTTCATTCACGTATCCTGTTATTTTAGTAGGCTTATGTAGTTTTGTTTAATTTCTAGATGCACGAGTTAAAATCTGTGTCATATAATTTTAACTTGGAGTTGTATTTTCTAAGTAATTTATAGCGGCAACAATTTGCACTTGAAATACAGCATCCTTATTTATAAAGTTTACATTCATGAAGTAATTTTTTATCACTTCAAATATCTTTTAATATACTAAAGCACGTTGATATCAATATTCGAGTCTATTAATTTTTCTCATTGTATGATCCAATTAAGAATTATTAACTTCACATTTATTTCCTTTGAACAGCAATGTACAGCCGTAAATTTTTTTAACCCGACAAATGTATTCAATAAGACTTGGCATTGGGATTGCAATTATTTTTTTTTTTTTATGTAGTATGTTTTTTTACGCAGTAAGTTTCGAAGGATGTTTGGCGTAACTTAAAAATTTCACTAATAATCAAGGTTAGAAGTTTCTTATGATTATAGCGTAAAATTTTTGCCGATAGGAAATTAATTTTTTTGCTAAAAATAAGACGGAGCGTTTTATATTATCGCTGTCTTCTATTCCCTGATACGTCTGAATATATATCTGTATATTTGGTAATAATAATAATAATAATAATAATAATAATAATAATAATAATAATAATAATGATGATGATGATGATGATAATAACGATGATATACTATGCTCAAACTTTAAATAATCGGCGATAATTTCAATCTACATGAATCAGTTCAAATTAGATAAAAAATGCCATAAAATTTTTAACACTTTTATGGTATTTATAGTATAGCATTAAAATAGTAAGCAAATATGTTCTTAAAACGACATTGTGGCATTATATACGTATAAATTTCTTTCGCTTTTCTCTCTCTCTCTCTCTCTCTCTCTCTCTCTCTCTCTCTCAATCGTAAATCCTGTATAGTGACTGAATGAACGTTTAATGAATAAAGTACGAAAATACTATATTGTATACAGTAAGATATTAAATATACTAACGTCATAATCAAAAGGAGCAATGTTTATGGGCCGTAGTGAGTTCCGGTCCGCATTTGGATCTTTAAAAGTGTGATTAAGGCGACCATTACCGAGGACGAGGGCGTTGAAGTGTATCGCGTAAGTGTGAAGTGCATAAGTGGCGAGGAGAAAGTGGAGAGGAGGTAGTTGAATAGCACTAAAGCGTCAAAAATAGGAGAGAAGTGGAGTCGAGGAAATTTGGGGAAGTGAAGAATCGTCGAGGCGTTTCGTGTTTCTTAAGCTCATTATTTTTAGATTAAACTGGTTTTCTGTATGGTCTTAAATTCGTCATCACCGGGATATTTACACGAGGAATTTTACAGAAGCTCTATCACTCCGTCTTCTGCCACTTTTTTCCTTTATCAACATTTTATCCGCAAAGTGAGAGCATCGTTTGAAAAAAAATTCACTTCTAATTGGCATTCGTTAGCTTGCCTTGTTGCGCTAATAATAATTTATCCTTCTAAGGCTCGTTTATAGATATATTTTTAAGACGGACACTCATGGGATATTTTTTATTCGTGCACTATTAGTTGAGAAAACAGAAATGTCCGTGTATTCCAAAGTGCCCGTAAATTCATAAAAGACTTCATAAAGTTATCCATAAAATGCACTATTGCTATTTTACGCTACAATTCAATCCGTTATACATACAAATAATAATCTGATAAATTTAATGTTATGTTTACTAATTTTACGCACGTGTGCATACGCAGTTTATATTTTATAGCTCGTCTCTGCATTCTTAAGCATTTTTTATTGTCTTCGTTTATTCATTTGCCTCTGCTGAAAAATTGATTAATTTTTAATAATTTTATTAAGTACTTTAAAGTTTGTCAAATGTGTTTTACGTTACCGTTCATTCATGCTTAATCGTGGATATAATAAAAGGCCCTAAAGTCATCAATCTCGCTTAATGAAACATTTTCCTGCATTTCCTTCAACATTATCCTCCTCAATAGCATCTATTTTAATTTTACTTAAATTAAAGCCAATGATTTTTAAAATGATTCCCTACTATGATTTATAATTAATGCGAGACCATAAACCCGCGTAAAGTCGGTAAATGCATTTTTTGATGTAATAGTTCCATGTACAGCGGAACAATTAAATAAAGATCCAAGTTTATGAATAATCAAATACTTAAGAAAAAAACAAAAAAAGAAAAACGATAAAAAAAAAAAAAAAAAACAAAGAATCTCTTATACTTGTCCGTTCGAAAAACTGTATCAAACAAATGATTATTCCATAAGTCGATCCCATGCAAGATCTCATTAAAAAGAAACCGGCATGATATAGTTTCACTTCCCTTGGGAATAATTTTCCTGTTCTACTCCATAATCCCAAATAGATTCTGATTTTTAAACTGCCGGGCTTCGAATTAACGAGGAACATTAATTAGCAGGATTATTGCATTTGAGCATTGGGCCGCGCTCGCCGTTGTCATTTATATTTTCTAGCCAGCCTATTTCCTCGCATGTAGCATTATGCAACAACAGTGTATCATTGATCGCGCAATTGCGTTTCATAGCTCGTAGTTTTCTCTCGGCGTGAGCCCCTCGGGGGCTGCGTCAGAGGGATAGCCGAGTACGTAGGTCGTATTGTGATTGCAGGTCTGTTACCTGCTGGGCAGCCTGATCGGCATACTCGCAGCGGCAATTGTGGAATTCGCCGGAAGTAGCGAGGCGGTAATGTACTCAGTAGCCGTCTTGATCGGAGCCGGAAGTTCAATTACCATGGTCACGGCGCTGAGCATAACAGCAGAACTTATCGGGCCGAGGACTGAGAGCAGCGCACTTGTTTACTCGATCGTGACGTTCTTGGATAAGGTCGTGACGGGCCTCGTCGTTATCGTCATCGAGAAATGGTAAGTGTGCACGCAATATGTGCGTACCTCCTTCTCTCTCTATCTACCCCTCCCACTTTTCCCTCCCTCCCTCCCCCGCCCTCTCGCCCCTTTTTTTCTACCTTCGCTCCTCGTTTTTCCGTGCTTTCCATTGATTTGCAAAGTCGGCGTCACCCCACTTGCTGAACCCTCTAAGAAGTCAACAGTACATTGACCACGATAGCATCGACCGGATAACATCTTTCGGGTACATTAGTGTATTAATTTTGAATGTACTTGTTATATTTCTCATTGAATGCAATTCCCTGAATACGATAAACAGCTGCGATAGAGGTCTCGAACACTCTAAGTAGAGTTATCAACATTATTATTTCATTAGTAAATCATTATAATTCTCTTTGGGCCATTATGGAGTTAAAAACATCTTTTAGTATGTGAAATTTCGGAGACAATGAACCGCTAATGTCCATTATCACCTCTTTCATATTATTCACATTAAGAAAATAACATTTTAATTACTATATGCCGAATAATTACCCACTACATCCAATTACGCGGAATTCATACAAAATTTGCTACGTGGTTTTAATTTGCAAATTATAAAATTGTTAATTGTGAACAAAAATCACCATTTTCTTAAGCATAAAATCGACGAAAAACAAACAAACAAAAAATAAATAAATAAAACATTCATTTTGCCTTAAAAAAAAAAAAAAAGAAAAAAAAAGAAAAAAAGATAAAGCAAGTAATTAAAGAAGGTTCATAAATAATATGCAGATGTTTAAGTGAACAAAGTTTCATGAAATGCATACCATAATGTTTCTAGCAAGCAGCATATTTATGAAAATACTAAAACTCTCTCATATAAAAGGATTAAAAATGAAGTAATAAACTCTTCATGTGCATTTAACTAAAATTTTCTTATAGTAAAAGTAAAAGTATCAAACGTGAATTCTGCAACAGTGAAATTTTCATTAAATTATTAGCGATCGGCTAATGGATGATTAATAAATATTGTAATATTGTATTTAATATTTAATATTTTATCTAATATTGTCTTATTTGCGTGCAATATTTCAATTTATTTCAATTCACTTATTCAAAAAAGTATTTTCAATTTTATAAATAATAATAATAATAATAATAATAATAATAATAATAATAATAATAATAATAACAATAACAAGAAACAATAATGATAATAATTTCATCGCAGAAATTTATATGCATATTAATAAAAATAAAATGAAATTGTAAGAGATCTTTTGTGGCATTGAAATTTGACATTATTATTTAAATTTAAAAATATATGCAAAAAAGGCCTGGTAGTAATAATAATATTTATGAATAATTCAGTAACAAGAAAATGTAATTTCTTATTTTTCAAGTTTATAATATTAATGAATCTCTCGGTTACGGTAATTATAAACTTGCAATTTTTGGATTTCTATTTCTTTATACGTTCAATTGGCGTAAATTTTTATTACATTATTTTATTATATTATAAAATATTTAAGCACTAAAAATTTTAACATCACTTTAAGTGTATTTTTAATTATATATATAACATGCTGATGTCAAGATTACAAATATATATATATATATATATATATATATATATATATAATTTTTTTATTTGCTTTTGGTTATATCATGTTTTCTGACTGATGTTGAAAGACCAATACTAAAGTATAAAATAGTATACATATTTTGTATATAAATATGATTTATAAATAAAATAATTTACTCGTAGATTAACAGAATTTAATAAAACTAGAATGTAGCAAATCTAACGGTTGAAACTTAGTTTTGAAGAAATACATATTCGCAGTCAAAATTAAAATAGTAAAATTATATATGATTAAAAAAAACTTCTATTCTGTGCGAACGCTAAAATAATGTTTACATTTGGAAAAACGTTTCATTAATCGTGAAAATTTGAGGTTACTTTCATCTTTCATCTACAATTACTTAAATTGAAAAGTTTTTATAATTAAAATTGTATATTTTGTTAAAGATTTGCATACAACTTAATATGGGTATATTTATTCAAAGTTTGATTACAATATTTTACATGTGCAATATATAATGTAAATTTGTGTGTTAAATTTTTCCATAAAATAATAGTAGTTGGATGTAAGTGAGGAATATTTTTCTGGTATTGTTTGATTAAAATTTCTATATCTTTTCAAATCTTCCAATAAGTCCTATAAGAATATTGTTTATTCTGAAAAAATTATGTCATTCTTTAGATTGGCAATGTATTATACCAACGTATCTCACAATAAATACTATCGTAAATATTTTTACGGTGAAATATCAAATTCAAGATAGATCCAACATAATATAACCGCGTATTAAGAATGAAAAATGAGAATTCGAGTATCCGGATATTTACTTTCAAAAGGTATTAATATTGTTTTTGAAAATAAAATTTATCCTAACTTGGAGGGAAAATATGACATAAATATCGAAGCGAACAAAAAATAAGATTTAAATTTTTTACAATGTCTTTTCAAATTCAGTCTTTTCCGAGAGTGAAATAACGAGCACCTCGAGCTCTATTCATCAAGCTTTATTTACCTATTCAAGCTTATATTTATTCAAGCATTCATTAATAAGAATGATAATTTTAAAAAGCTTCCAAGACTCTTGATTTTTACTAACAGAACGATCGTTAATTTTAATACTCACTACCCTGATTTTACAATACCATTGATGAAGATTCCCCTACTACACTTACCAAAACTGCATTGTAAATAAGTATATAAGACTCGTGTAAGACAAATATAAAAAAATTAACAAATTTGATATCGAAAGCTAATTGCACGTTATTTTTTGTCAAAGTCTTTGATTACTCGCTCGCTTCCTTCTTCCCTTTAATTTTCATCGAGCAATCGCCTCCTTTTAACTTTTACACTGAATGATTTCCGCCCCATAAAGCTGATTGGATTTTCTAATTTAACTCATAGAGCAGAGGAGAATCGGAGAATTCCAGGGTGAACGATTGGCTCTCGTTGCGAATTTACGTTTGCCAAGCACTGAAACAATAATCCGCGACACAAAGATGAGCACCAACTTGTCCTCGAGCATCTAGATTTATTAAATATTTGCGTTGTCATGTTTGCGCATGAATGGCGGGAATGGCGAAATGTCGATAATATGAGTGGACGATGGGCGAGAAGCAGTCGTGATTGCCCATGCGTTTCGATAACCCATGGCGACGAATGACGACGGATGATGAGACGAGTACGCGTGTCCGCTTAAAAGTAGCGCCAAAACTAACTCTAATCTACCTACCACTAATCTACTTTTCTATCTCAAAGTACAATAATGAAGTTTAAAAACGCAAACGTATAGAGCCGAGAAGGCCGCTATCGAATTAGCCATTAATCGCACTCTCGGCATCCAGCAGAGAAACAATCATCCCCTCCGCTAATGGTCGATCGAATTAACCCTCGTTAAGGGGGACCAACGATGCAACGGAGTAACCCACCTCTCGCTTACATTCAACTAATTCTATCGAGTATATCGTCTGTGAATATGCGCAAACTCCTTTAACAACTCCGGGGAACGGGACTTACTTGCCCAGCAGAAGCGCATTCGCCTACCTGACCACGATCGCAACTACAACTCCACAGGGGAGTTGGGCTGTCGAGAGGTTCGGCTCTCGAATCCCGACATGCCCCTCGTCTTCTCTTGTCGCATTCTACTCACTACATGCCACATTGGCTCAGCCGATCGAGCTTGCATGCTCGTGGCCATGGATAACATTTGCCACCACCTACGCGTACGACCCGTAGCGTCGACGTCGCGCCTTTACGAAGCCGAACTTCGCAAGCCCATTAGTCGGATAGAGACGTAATTAGAGATTAGAGAAGTTTATACGTGCAATATTGCATACGCATGCGAAAGGTTCTTTCGGAAAACATCGAATTTAGAAGTATCTCGCCGACTACCACCCCCTACCCTATCCCACCCCACTCATGCGACGCCGACTCTCATTTCATTTCCAGGCGTTTTTAAAAGTTTCCAAGCACACGCGCGATATCAAAATAATTTTGCCTCTCGACTTTCGCGCGCCACGCGTAAGTCAAGTCCTATCGTCGACCATTACGATGGTAGGTAAATAAATCTTCTGCTCCCGCTATTTCGTGCTCGAGCGTTCATTACACGTCGTATACGCCAATAAATTGTGAGCCGCAAACTTGAAAGCAAACTTGGTCCAATAGATCCATGAGAATCGGCTCCGATAAAATCCAGTGAATTGCATATCTACGGAAGAGCAACAAGGGCCATTGAATATAAAAGCGACGACGGTGCAGCATTCGAGTCGAGTCCGACACTTCTTCAAATACTTTGGTAATAAAAGCCGCAGAATCGAGCCGATACCGACTCTTCGCTCATCTAAGACATTAATCTTGCTGTACTGCAGCTAAGCGCGGCGATCGTGAATTTACAAGCCGTAAGAACGCACAATACGAATTTCCATAGGAGCACGAAATGGCCGACGATTAGTTACGCCTTATCGAGCCGCCAACCATGAATTCACCCCCTTACTCGGCTCATTAACCGCGCGTTTAGCGGACAAGCGGGGCTCGACTAACTCGACGACCTCGACACGACCAGCAGCGATCCAAACTGAATCCATCAAATCGATAACGCTACGTCGATCGATGAAATATTTCCACAGCCCCTAGTCCTCCCTCACCACCGTCAACATTCACCAATAAATAACGTGTTTGTATTGCAGGAGATGCATCGACAAGGAGCTCTGCCCGACATACAATCGCGACACGCTGGCACTGGTGTGCGCAACGTCCATGGCCCTCGGACTCGTCACGCTGTCCTTCGTGTCGCGATGCATCTCCAATTGACCAGCTAATTTCAACGTCTGTAATGCGGGCGCGCGCCGATTATCAATCAGGGCCACCCGCGCTACTGCGAATGCTCGCGTCACCTCCTCCATTATCTCATTTACCTCTGTATCAAGTTGTCTATTACTTTCTATATTTGTGTAAGAATGTCAATCAGAGGCCAATAAATCACGCTCTAAAAGCTTCTCGATATTCCCTCTCCTGACTCTCGCGTGTCTTTATCGTCTAACAATTGCGATAACAATTTTCTTTAATAGTCCGTCGCTTCAGTTGGTGCGGAGAAGAGGGGGGGGGGGCAGTGTCATCCCTTAAGCAACGGCAACACGTACAGAACGGGCCGGAGGACCGACTATGGCAAGAGATACTACTGACTGTATGAAACGAGAGGGCCGCGGACCACACGTCAGCATTGGTAAAACAAATGCATCGTTTGTTTGACGAGATAAAGTATAAATCGATGCTTACTTGTTAGGATATTAGGATGTCAGTATTACCGATCAAACATTGTGAATATACGGCCGATTTACAATTATGGATACGGAGAAAGTGAGAGTGAAAATGAGAATGAGAGAGAGAGAGAGAGAGAGAGAGAGAGAGAGAGAGAGAGAGAGCGTTACAATGGTACTTATTTTAGAGTTTGGTAAGATGCAAGAAAGGTCCAAGAAATGTCCATGAGAAAATAATGAATCTCGACGAACTGGAAATTCGGCGGCTTTTTAAGGAGTGAGACACATGTCGGAAGAATAATCGGTCAATCATTAAAGAGAAACATTGAATTAGCTATATTACTCCATTTAGACTCACGAGCTAAGAATAATCTGCGGATGCTTTGTCAGAGTGTTTCAACTGATGTTGTCACTATGTGTGTTTAATGATTTTAAGCAACAATGATGGTAGAAATGCTGCTCGCATTGTTTTACATAAAAGAGCCATGAAATATACAAGTACGTAGATGATAATTTGATGAACATAATACGATTTCTAATGTAAGATGATATGTTTGAAAGGTTTTTTTGTTTTTTAATTAAAAATTATTATCGAAACCCAAAAGAGATCCAGTAGGTTTTGTTTTATTTCAAACCATCACGTTCTGCTTACTTACGCTCGACTAAATGCATTTTGAACGTTTTGGCGTAAAATTTATCGTACGCGTTTCATAAATTTCAAAAATGCAAGAAAATTTCACCAGTACTTTCACTGCATAGAGCTATAAGATTTTGTTAACTAATACAAAGAACGTTACAATAAAAACATTACCGTATACGCATTTTGAATTATTTTTATTGCAAAGCTTGTTATTCGAGATTCATTAATAAAATTAACCATGGCAATAGTAGATCATTCGCAAGCCAATAAAATAAATTAGTTTTCAACTGAACGGACAATTTCAAAAATTAAATATCCTAATTTTATTCTTATTATTGTTGTTGTTGTTGTTGTTGTTGTTGTTGTTGTCGTCGTCGTCGTCGTCGTCGTCGTCGACGTCGTCGTCGTTGTTGTCGTTGTTATTGCTATTTAATGATTAATGTCGAGAAATTTAGAGGAAAAATTTTTTCTTAATAGCTTTTGAATATATATATATATATATATATATATATATATATATAATATGAAATAAGACATACGAAAAATAATAAAGCTTTAATGTTTTAATGTTAACAAATATTTTTATAATCTTAATACATAAGTTAATGCATAAAATAAAATACAATTTCCTTTTCATAAATCATTTGAAATAACTATTAGTATATAACTATTGGCAAATAACTATTGGTAAGAAAATTCATATTTAATGATTTGTTTAATAAAAATAGTCTATATATAACAAACCTGATGTTTACAATTTCAAATATCTGCATATAGACGTTCGTGTATTTTAAAAAACTTATTCCATTAAAGTTTAAAAGGGCCCCATTATTGACTTTGGTCAAAAGTTATCCTGCGCTGGAACATTTACTGTTGCTATTAAATATTAGACATTCGGCTTTTAAATTAAGGTACACAAATAATTTCCTAAATTTAGTCATTCAGCTCCATGAGAGTCAATAAACAATATTTTGAATTATTATTTATACCTCGGTACGGCAATTTCTACACCCGCAGACATATTTTACTTACTGTATCTCGTACTATTCTCGACTGCTTTTAGATCGGTAATTATTTAAACTATATAGTAAACTAAAGCACACGTTGACAATTATTTTATAACTTTTCACGATAGTGCTCGTGCTATGAAAAAGTGAACAAAATTAATTACACGATGCAATGGAATAACGTTCTTCTTTTCCTTATTTCAAATACTTTTTAACAACTTTGTACAATGAACGTTATAACGACAATATCTCGGTATTCTGGTCGTAATCTTTTTCATTTCATTAAAGGGGTACGCAACAAAAGTCCTTGCACAGTTGATTATTACCTCCATTATTATTACCTTACCTTACTTTTATCTTTCATAATGCGAGTGTCAAGCAAACAGCGGCGAGCGAAATTCTCATAATACGACATTTAATGCACATACGCGAATACGATTAAACGCCACGCATTTGAAAATTCAAATTTTATTTCCTCTCGCTTATTTATTATTTCCGCTTTATTTAAAATATGTACAACCAGTCCAAATAACGCCGGTAATTGCGCAAAGCTACGGGTCCGCCCGTCTGTGTCCACTGAAAAAAAAGTCTTTGAAATCCAGTCGCTTACCGCAACACCAACAACATCCAACAACATTCAACAACAATAATCGAGAATCCACAAATGATTAAGGACTGTTAACTCACCCAAGTCATCGAGATCGCCCCTCGCCCTCCTCCTACTCGTCATAGCGACACGGGCTCGCTCGGCCACCGATCTGTAAACACGCGCGCGCCAGTTGACGCCTCGACCGCTCATTATGGCTGCTAATCGATCGACGAGGCCGCTCTTACCGACGTGCCGCCCACACCCCAGCCCGCCGCCAGATGTCACCTACGTTCTCGCTTTATCCTTACGGCAAACCGCCCCGGAATTTTCCGAGAAACGGGCAGACGGACGAGCGCAGCAGCGATTGCGTTGGCACGGGGGGTGGCGACGGGAGGGGTGCGGCGGGGGCGGCATATAGAGTGACTGAGCACCAGCGGGAAGGGGAGTGCTTACGAGCGAGCGCACGAGCAGTGCCATCGGTCCGTCAGACTACTTCGGGGACCGCCGCTGCCGCCGCTGCCGCCGCTGCCGCCGCTGCCGCCGCTGCCGCCGCCGCCGCCGCCGTAGCGCACGTCAGTCTTGCGCGACGCTCGTTTCGTGAACGTATGCGCGCGGCGCTTCGAGTCGAAAACGCCTCTCGCCGCGGGCCACACAAATACAAACACGGAGTGTGAGAGAAAGAGGGAGCGAAGGAAAACAACGGTAGTCTCCTTAAATCTCGCGCTGTTCCTCTCTCTGCTTTCTCAGCCGCTGCTCCACCCCCTCCCCCACAACAATAACAACAATAACACACGCACATATATACTTAATTCTATCCTGTCTTTACTCCCCCTGTCGTCCCAGCCCTGCCCTACCCTGCCGTGCCCTGCCCCTTTGCAGACAACCGTCCGGCCCAGCTAGGAATCAGCAATAGTCCTACTCTACCTTGGGTAAGCAAGGATAAGCAAGGAGCAAACATATCGCGGCAGAGACATCGGGGAAAAAGTGAGTGAAGCCAAAGTGTGCATGTGCGCGGGGTAGCGATATCGTGGCTCGCGCACGCCGCGGATTATTTACCGGGTCGGCTGGCGTGGGAGCGTGTGTGCCTCGCGCCACGGGCTCCAACGACGTGAAGACGAGGAGGCGCGAGGGAGATAGAGGAGAGGAGTTGGGAGCAAGCGCGCGCCCCTCTGTCTCCATTGATAAACGAACGCACGTACGGCGGCTACGTATATGGAGATCCGAGTGTGAGTGCTGTGTATGTTGACACGACACGCGTATGCGCTATCGCTGCCGACGGCTCGAAGGTGGTTGTGAAGGAGGAGGCGGTGGTAGAGGTGACGGTGGAGAAGGAGGAGAGGGAGGAGAAGGAGAAGGAGAAGAGAAAGAGAAGGAGCCAAAGCAAGAGCAAGAAGTAGAGGACGATGACTGACGACGACGACGACGACGACGACTGACGACGACTACGACCACGACCACGACCACGACCACGACCACGACCACGACCACGACCACGGCCACGACAACCACGACTACGACCACAACCACGACTACGACAACAGTATGTACGACGGTGAGAAGTGCAAAAGTGCCAGTGCGGTTTATCAATTCTACTCTGTCTCTTTCTCGTTCTTTTCTCTCACTTGCTGGCATTATTTTATTTCATCATTTCGTCGCACGGGAGTAAGCTTGTGCTTCTCGCTCGGCGTTGGAAAAAGAGCGCGTACTACCAGACGCCGTGCGACACACGCGGAGGATAAATAAGTCATGACTGAAATACTGCGCGTCCACCCCTAGCTTCTCTCTCTCTCTCTCTCTCTCTCTCTCTCTCTCTCGTCTCTTTCTACATCCCTCTGTCTCTCTGTCTCGCGTGCACGCGGCATTATTGACGATAACGAGACCGGCGTGAGAGAGATGGAGGAGGATGAGTAGCCGCTGCCTCTGCCACGGCCTATAGCACATTCGTCAACAACACGCGACTCCCGTATAACCTCAAAGATATTCTAACCTCCACCGCGTGTAACGCTGTGCTTGTTTGGAGTGTACTCCTGCGGGTAGTGCGTCAGCCTTACCTTGCGCATCCCTACGATATAAGTGCGATGTAACGGCACTTTGGTTGGTGCGTCAAATAACGTGAGACGCAATTGCGCATTGTTTTTCTCACAACGAAAGCATGAACGTCTCTCTTTATGTATCTCTCTATCTCTCCCACTCTCTCACTCTCACCGTATCCTTCTCTCTCGGCTGAGAATGCGATGAAAGCAGCAGGAGTAAGGGGCGCGGGCCAAGGAGATGGACAAAATGAAGAGGAGAGAGAGAGAGAGAGAGAGTGAGTGAGAGAGAGAGAGAGAGAGAGAGAGAGTGAGAGGTCTCCGAGAAATATGCTACAATCGTATTTTCACTCTTTCACTGCTGTCTCTCTCTCTCTCTCTCTCTCTCTCTCTCTCTCTCTCTCTATTTACCCACCTACCTATCTATCTATTAATTTTTTTATCAATCTATCCATATCGTTATTTGTCTATTTACCTACCTACTTACCTACCTAATTACCTAACTACCTAACTACCTACTTAACTATCTCCCTTCCGTCTCCTCGCGTCAAAGTGCGTATA